TAATCCGCATATCAGTACACGGCAGATTTCGCGTGGTATGGACATTTGTCAAAGCAGTGTTGTACGTATTCTTCATTCGGAGAACTTTCATCCGTATCACCTGTCAGTACATCAAAAGCTACATGGACGAGACTTTGAAAAACGCGTACAGTTCTGTGAGTAGTTTTTGCACCAGATGTAAGATTCAAATGGTACATTTGTACAGACTGTTTTATGGACTGACGAAGCCACATTCACAAATTGCGGAAATGTTAATACAAAAAATACACATTATTGGGCAACAGAGAACTCACATTGGCTTCATGAAGTTGACCACCAACACAGGTGGAATTTGAATGTTTGGTGCGGCATAATTGGTCACCAGATCATTGGACCGTACTTCATTGAAAGATCACTGCCGATCAAAAAGATCAAACATACTCCACATTCTTGTCTGAAACACTGCCAGGCCTATTAGAAAATGTACCATGTTTAATACGTCAAATAATGTGGTATCAACATGGCTGTCCAGTACATTATGCTCGGCTAACGCGGCAAGTATTAAGTAGAATGTTTCCTAATCGTTGGATCGGACGTGGCAGTAACATTGATTGGCCAGCTCGCTCACCAGATTTAACGCCGATGGACTATTTCCTTTGGGGAACATTAAAAAATGAAGTTTATCGCGAACCACCAACGACAGCGGAGGATATGCGAGAACGTATTATTAGTGCATGTGCTGCAATAACCACAGAAACACTGGAAAAAGTTCTTCACTCACTGATAATTCGATTACGTAAGTGCATTGACTGCAATGGACAGCACATCGAACACCGCTTGAAATAAAATTAGTTTAAAAAATATCTCAGTAATTATTCATTTAAAGCCCCATTTTGTGTAATACTTTTTTACGCAAAATTTGATGATTTATCCGAATTCGAAAAAAAATATTAGACATTACATTTAACCCTTTGCACTCGTATGTCCACTCTCAGCCACCAAAGCCTTTTTACCGTTCCGCTCGTATGTCTGCTCTCAGCCACCACAGCAAGGAACTATACGAATCGTATACTGTATGCATTCATGTATCAGATTTCACTTTTCCTATACGAACCTCAATGCCTAAGGAACCTATTCACGAACTACTACAGTGCTCCATCGACTGGAGATAACGAAATCCAATGTAAACAAATGTTGTCACCCAGCGCTCGCCATGCAAGACGCAGCGGCGAGTCAGTCCTCTTTTGAACCTAATGAAATCGACAACGTTCGGCAATACCTCGTAGAGTTAAATAATAAATAATAAAATAATAGTAAAATAATTCTCCAAAATGGCAAAAAGGAAGTTACCGCAAGAAGTGTTCGGTGAAACTGACGATAACGATGAAGACTTTTATTTTGGCCTCCCGAATACTGATTCTGATAGAGAAAGTGATAACTATTGCAGTGACTCTGATAGTGACATAGTTCCCGTGGAGCGACCAGTAAGGGAGTTAACAATGTCCAGCGACAGTGAAACAGAAGAAAATGATGAAAATGAGAATAGTAATATAAACGAATTTACTACTTGGAGAGACGTTACGTACACAGATCAGCCACAATCAAAAACTAATTTTTCGACGGGATCGAAGACTGTTGGACCGAATGTACCCTTGAATTGCACGGAACCTATCGACTTTTTTAGACTCTTCTTCACAGACACACTGCTTGAAAAAATTGTATTAGAGACAAATAAATATGCCCAAAATAAAATAGAACAGCAGAGCTTATCAACTCGATCAACGTGGAATAAGTGGATCGATGTGACGAAGGAGGAGTTAACAGCTTTTTTGGGTGTAGTCCTGAATATGGGTACTATACCAGTTCCTAACATGCAATATTATTGGACTAAAGATCATATTGGAAACATACCATTTTTTAGAGATACGTTTCGGAGGGAAAGATTTTTCCAAATATTTTGGATGTTACATCTAAATGAAAACATTTCCACAAATAGAAACGTATCAACGAGAATCCAAAAAGTGAGCAACTTTCTGGATTATATTGGTGACAAGTTCCGGGCGTATTTTACACCGGATAGAGAAATATCCATCGATGAGTCTGTGGTGAAATTCAAGGGCAAAATCAGCTTCATTACATATAATCCCAAAAAGCCCACCAAATGGGGAATCCGGATTTATGTACTGATATTATCAGACTCCCATACAGGATACATATATGCTATGCTTCCCTACTATGGAAGCGTTACTACAGAGATTCTCATCCGTCCAGACCTCCCTGTCAGTTCAAGAATTGTTTTACAACTTTATCACACGCTGTTGACCGCAAATCCCGAGGCAAAGGGATACCACATCTTTACAGACAGATTTTTTACAGGGATCCCATTAGCGCAGGAACTACTAAAGCTAAATTGTTATTTAACTGGCACAATTAACACAAACAGGAAATATATACCAGCTATGATCAAAAAACCAGCTTTAACAAAAAATAATATTGTCGCTGCCTACCGATCAGGCGCTATTCTACTATTAGCGTGGAGAGATAAAAGAATAGTCACCATGCTAAGCAGTTACAACACATCGGGTACGACAATTACAGAAAGAAGGAAGAAACAAGCTGGGACCGTCAACATTGTCAAACCAAATGTTGTTATAAATTATAATACGAACATGGGAGGTGTGGATAAGGCTGACCAATTAGCATCTTCGTACTGTTTCATGAGAAAATCGTGCAAGTGGTGGCGAAAACTTTTTTTCTGGGGACTGGAGATTTGTGCAATCAATAGTTATATTTTATATAAGGTGTCAGCTAGAAGGGAGAGCAGAAAACCTATGCCACATTTTATGTTCGTCCGAAAATTGGTGGCACAATTGGTAGGCAATTTTCGTGGCGGAGCAGATTCAAAACCAGGAAGACCATCAACCTCCGATAAGGATGAAAGACTGAATGGAAAACTACATATACTGCGGCATTGCGAAAATGTGAAAAGTAAAGATTGTACTGTCTGTTCAAACAGAAAGATTAAGGGTGGAAGGCACCAAACCAATTATTTTTGTGACACATGCACTCGAAAACCTGGCCTACATGTTGGAGAGTGTTTCGAAAAGTATCACACGAAGGAAAATTATAAAACATAACTTTTATACAAAAACATCACTAGATGAGTATATTGAATAAAGATATATCTAAAGTTCACAAAACAATTACTAAATCTTGTCTATACATCCTAAACTTGCGTGTTATGTATCCCTGTTCTATCGACGGAAATTAATTCCGAGTAGTACGATACCCATCTCCAAACTTAATCCGAGCGCAAAGGGTTAA